CGACCGCACCAACTCCAGAAGAAAACACGGTCGACCGCCACGGTCGACCGCCAAAGGTCCAGACGCACCGTGAGCCTTGTGCACGAACACGGTCGACCACCAACCTGTCGACTGCCATATGCCTGATTTCTGCCATTTCTACCGATATTTTTCATGATAATCCTCTACCCAACAATCCAACAAATTTGAACCTGATTGGCACTTGTGAGCCAAGTAATTGAGGTGTGGGTGCGGTTTGCAGCCCGGAAACCACAAACTTAATTTAAAATTTTCACATCATATCTCAAACATTAACCGTTTTTTGAACATAAATCATGCATGCCATCATTTGATAAATGAGAGTGAATCTCATGCTTTTCTTGCCTATCCTTCTTAAAAAAGCTTTTAAATACATCTACTTCTAACTCTGTGCATAATTGGTTTCATCATCATTGTACCTCAGCCCTTAAGGTTAAATGTCGCATCACCATGGCATCTCTTATTCTCTCTTTTACCAAAAAGAATTTACATTAACTTATAGCCTAATTATAACTTGGTCATTTTTTATATTTTATGATTTGAAAAGTTTTATGTTAATATTTTGTAGAATTAGGAGATGGGCAGGCCTCCATGCTGCGATAAATCCAACGTGAAGAAGGGACTTTGGACTGAGGAAGAAGATTTGAAGCTAATAGCTTATACCAACACTCATGGAATAGGAAATTGGACTTCTGTTCCAAAGAAAGCAGGTTCTTTTTACGTAGCTAATTGGTTGATTTTCTTCAAAATAATATTTACGTTATTGATTTTTTATTTATTTATTGGTAATGTGAGTATGCAATTTTAGGGTTGAAGAGATGTGGGAAGAGCTGTAGGCTAAGATGGACTAATTATCTGCGCCCTAATTTGAAGCATGAGAGCTTCACTCAACAAGAAGAGGAGATGATTATAACACTTCATGCTACAATCGGAAGCCGGTATTGTTCTCTCTATCAATTTATTTGATTGAGGATTTTATATCATGATGTTAACTACTGTAGTTTTCATTTTAGTCAATTAGGAACATTATTTTGTTTGAATAGTTTTAACCTAGAAAGAATTTCTAGTGTAGAGCTGCTAACACAAATATCTTTACACTGTCCAGATATTAAAGCGGGGCTGAAATAGTAAAAAGGAGGAGGAGGAAAATATCTATAACTATATATGACAACCCCAGTTTGAAATTGATTTTAAACATAATTTTATCTAGAAGTGAGATGGACAGGCATCAAAAACCTGTACTTTTGAAATGTAGAATGTAAATTAACTCAACAATAGGATATTTATACATTTGAAATTTTCATATTTGAAATCTTCTATGTTGAGTTAATCTATGATTATCATCTGGGGTCCACAGAAATTGAAAACATTTGGTTTTGGAACAGAATTCTAGTTTCAAATGACAGAAAGATCTTTTATAATCTCAAAATGATGAGTAGTTCTATTAATTAGTTTTTGCTTACTATTTCAGAAGTTTACCAAAAGACCAGTTTGTTTTGTTGAATTTACATCAAGATGAGTAGATTGTCTCTTTTGCCAGTTTCCCTACTCATTTTATCATTCACTAATGAGTAATGAGTAGCTAAATTGTTTAATATTGCACAATAGGTATAAACTGCTAATTTCATGGGTAAATTACACTAAACCCCCATAAACTTTCAGTGCTTTGTAGTAAACACAGTAAACTTTCAAAATCACACTAAAATCCCAATAACTTTTGCAGAGAACTTCTATGAACTTCTATGGTAAATTATACTAAACCCTCATGAACTTTCAAAATACCTTTTTATGTTATTTTTTTGTTCTAATTTTGGGGATTATCTACAAAACTCAGAAAAATCATGGGCGCTCTTTGCAATTCCAAAAAGTTCATTGGGGTTTAGTGTTATTTTGAAAATTCATTGGGATATATTGCAAAACTCTAAAAGTTCAAGGGTTTATTGTAATTTACCCTAATTTAATATTGCACATTATTGTCCCCTTTTGAATGAAATGGGCTAATTAAGGCTTATATTTCCTTTCGTTATCATGAGATTTGAAAGAACTATTGGTGTAAAGGAAGCTACGGTAGCTAAAAGTTTGGATTAGTTAAAGAGTCATCTAATTACCTTAGAATTAAAGCTACCGGCATATTTCAATTTCGTGATTGGAGGCAGTATGAAAGTGATGATCCCTATCTCCTAACAAATTTAACTAACCATGACGTACACACGATCACTCCCCCTCACTCTCTCCAACAGTCACAATTATATTCCTTTTTAGTACTTAATTATGTACATAACACCATGATTATTTTTAGTACAGGTGGTCGGTAATCGCACATCACCTCCCGGGTCGAACAGACAACGACATAAAGAACCACTGGAACACAAAACTGAGCAAAAAACTGTGCCAGCAAGGCATCGACCCCGTCACCCACAAACCCATCTCTCAAATCAAGGAAACCATCACCACTCTAGCCGCCGCCGCCGCCGCCAACCACCACCTCCTAATCCACCCTCCACCCTTCAACACCCGCGTCAACAGCTGCCTGAGCCGCGACCTCAAGAACGTCCTCCTCTCCAAACCGCAACAATTCTACGAACCAACAACAGCCACAAGCACCACATTGGATGAGGTTTATAAGCAGGATAAGGAGATCAAATGGAGCGATTATCTCGTCGACGATGTTTTCGTGCCGAACCAAGAGAAGGAATTGGTGGTGAATGGATATGGGAAGGAGAAGGTGACAAGTGCAGTGGATGAGGAGGTGAGTAGTACTGTGTTTGGAGGTGAAGGGAGTAGTAGCTCGAGTTCTTTTGTGGAGGGAATATTAGATCAGGGGAGGGAGATGATGATGGAGTTCCCTGAGTTTTTTTATGATTTGCTGTAGGCGTTTGTGCGTTGAGGATCTTAGTTAGGAACTTCGTGTGGAGTATTAGTAAATTATTTTAAACTTAGGTTGATGTTTAGTCAGGGTGGTAGTTTCTAGTTATTGTTAGTGGGTGTGGTCATGTGATATCTTCTTTTAACTGACAAGGGCTTACTTAAATAATTGGATTGTCTACTTCAAAACTAGCTAATTATGTCATCTAGTTATTGCCATTTTTCTGAATAAAATGAATTTTAAGAGAGAAATCATAACAAGGGGTATTTTGGTCACTAAAGATCCCCAGGATTTGAGGGACTAATAAACAATTTATTGAGATTTGAGGGACCAATGTGGAATTATTGAAGATTTGTGGGATTCAATTGGGAGTTATTTGTTGGATTGAGACGAGGTAGGGACCACATGAGCCACAAACCGTGTGAAGATCCAACAAAGTGTGAACAAAATCTCGTGAAGAGATTGGATAGTGCGTAGAGGCTATCATGAAGACGCGTGAAGTGATAAGATCCAGTAGATTTTGAGTTCGGTTTTGCAGATCCAGTGGATTTTGAGTTCGGTTTTGCTATGGATTCTTGGCTATAAATAGGAACCCTATTTTTAGCCTAGGGTTGTAGCAAGAGGGACTTCTAATTTGTGCGGCTACAAAGAGCTGGTGCAATTGTTGGGGCGCAGGTGCGAAGGCAGAAGGCAGTTTGCCGAACCACGTAAAATTGGTTGTTTGAGTTTGTGGCCATTGTAATAGTTTTTAGGATCCCTCGACGCGCAGTCCTAGAGCTGACGAGAGGAAGAGCAAATATCCCACTTTGATGTGTTATTAGGCTTTCAGATTCTTGTTCCCTTTGAGAAACAAGAATTCTTATCGATCTTTCTCTCTTATTGTGCACCAGAAACTCTGCCGAAATTTTCGCTGCGCACAACAAGTGGTATCAGATCTCGGGCTACGCTTGGGCTATTTGGAGGAGTAGATCGCTTTGGAAGTTCATCTAGGGCTTCGTTTGGTGATAAAGGTGGGATCTTTTGGTAAAGACTCTATCTTTCAGTTTTGGATCTATTCTTTGTTCGTTGGTGCGTAAGATGTCGGGGAAAGAAGGTGCTTCGGGTGTCGAGGGTGGTTCTTCTGGCGCGAAGACCATTCAGAGTTTGAATATCCACTCTATGAAGATAGATGTGGAGAAATTTAATGGCACAAACAACTTTGGATTATGGAGATGCGAGGTTTTGGATGCGCTGAACGCGCAGAATTTGGAGGATACCTTGGAGTTAGATGGCAAGCCAGATGAGATTGAAGAGAAGGTTTGGAAAAAGATGAATCGAACGGCGTGTGGTGTGATTAGGTCTTGTTTGACTCAAGATCTAAAATATGATGTGATGAATGAGACTTCTGCGAAGAAGATTTGGGAGATTCTCGAAAGCAAGTATTTGACCAAGAGTGTGGAAAATCGCTTGCATTTGAAGAGGAGACTTTATCGTTTCCAGTTGAAGAAGGGAACCTCCATTAGAGATCACATGAACCACTACACAAAGCTTCTTGCGGATTTGGCGAATGTGGATGTCAAGATTGAAGATGAGGACAAGGCATTGCTGTTGTTGAGTTCCTTGCCCGACGAGGAATATGAGACCTTCGTTCTTACTCTTATTAATGGGAAGGCATCCCTTTCGTATAGTGAGGTCACCACTGCACTTGTGAATTATCAGCTTCGAAAGAAGGATAAAGAGGCTTCGGTTGAGCCGGTAGCAGAGGCGTTGGTCGCAAGAGGGAAGAATCCAAACCGGAAGAATTGGAAGTCACAGTCTAGAGTAGGGCATCCTACAATTGGAAAAGATCAGTGTGCTTGGTGCAAGGAGACTGGTCATTGGAAGAAAGACTGCCCAAAGCTCGACGAATGGATGAAGAATAAGCAGAAGGGAAAAGGGAAGCAACCATCATCAGAAGCAAACATCGTATCGGATGGTAATAATTCTGACTCTTCTATTTATTCGCTTTCTATCAGTCCTACAGATAGCTATTCGGAGGAATCTGAATGGATGTTGGATAGTGGTGCGACCTATCATGTGTGCCCTAGAAGGGAATGGTTCTCCAGTTTTGAGAAGCTGGTGGATAGTGGTGTGGTGTACATGGCTGATAACCGTGCATGCCAGATCCTTGGGATAGGAAGAATTCGCATAAAGATGTTTGACGGGACTGTTAGAGAGTTAAACGATGTGAGATATGTTCCTTCTTTGAGGAAGAACTTGATCTCGATTGGAGCTTTGGTTGGAGAGGGTCTGAAGGTTCGTGTTGAGGACATGGTTCTCGAGATTGCGAGAGACTCTCGTATTTTGATGAAGGGCGTCAGGAGAAATAACCTGTATTACTTGACTGGAGGTATAGTGGCAGGTAGAGAACTGACGACTTCTATTGATTCGTCTAGACTGCGGCATTTGGGGCTTGGCCATTCCAGTATTGATTCCTCGCATAGATTGGAAGAGGGTGCGAAGACCTGCAGTTTGAAGTCCAGTGAACATGTTGATGTGAGCAAGAAGACCGAGGTGAAGTTTGACACCTCTATTCACCGAGTTAAGGGTCGTTCTGGAGGAGTTCACGTGGATGTTTGGGGGCCTTCCAAGGGGGCATCATTGGGAGGTAATAGGCGTTTGGTTTCCTTTGTTGGTAACTATTCTAGGCGTGTTTGGGTTGCAACCAAATCCCCTTTGGAGAAAGTCCTAGTAGTATCCAACAGATTGAAGAAGTGTGTGATAGACAGAAAGGTGAAGGTACTTCATTCTGGTGGGAGGTACAAGATGGACCTATTTCTGTATTGGAGCCGAGCTCACGGCATTGCGAGACACTTCGTTGGAAAGGAAATCTTGGGGCAACTTGATAGGATGGCAAATTTGGAGAACCGTACCTTGCTGGAGGAGGATCGGTGTTTGTTGTCAAGCAATGGTCTGCAGAAGAGTTTCTGGACAGAGGCTTCGACATATTTGGGTCATCCTATTAAAGAGTTGTCAACTGCTGTGATTGGAGGTAAAACTTTATTAGAAGATAGGTCTGGTAGTGTCACTTTGGTTGAGGCTTCGATAAGGGAGCTATTTGACTCTCAGCAGGTGGAGAGTTTTGGACAGACCTTAGAGGTATCGCAGCGGGTGGAGAGTGATGCTACTCCACATTGGGTGAAGATTACTCCAGATCATTCTGCATTGGTTGGGATTCCAGCTGAGGTGACACAGCGCGGGAGTCTGCAGATGATGAGTTGGGTTTTGAATCGAGTGCAGCTGGCAGACATAGTTTGGATATGGCCATTGGTTCGCCTCAGGTGGAGGTGTTTGAGGCCATTGGAGGTGCTATCAGCCGCAGAGTTGATGATATTAGAGAAGGGTTACGAACTCTTCTATTGGATTGAGGTCGTTTGCGGCCATTTGGGTGAACTACGTTCGGCTTGATTCCTTGGGCAAGAGGATACGTAGGCAGTCTTTATGATGCAGCCGGGTTGGAATTTTGATGGGGGTGAGATCGATTTGGTGAGTAGACATCGACGTTTGGGAGAGTGTTCGCATTCTCATTTGGGGTCTCGACTTGTTGTGGATTGAGTCCGTTGTTGTGAATTATTTCGCTTCGTACTGGACGCAACAAGTGAGACATTTGGTTTGGTTGGTGTCGGCTCAGTTTTGAGAAAACTTCACCGAGGTGGAGAATTGTTGGATTGAGACGAGGTAGGGACCACATGAGCCACAAACCGTGTGAAGATCCAACAAAGTGTGAACAAAATCTCGTGAAGAGATTGGATAGTGCGTAGAGGCTATCATGAAGACGCGTGAAGTGATAAGATCCAGTGGATTTTGAGTTCGGTTTTGCAGATCCAGTGGATTTTGAGTTTGGTTTTGCTATGGATTCTTGGCTATAAATAGGAACCCTATTTTTAGCCTAGGGTTGTAGCAAGAGGGACTTCTAATTTGTGCGGCTACAAAGAGCTGGTGCAATTGTTGGGGCGCAGGTGCGAAGGCAGAAGGGAGTTTTGACGGCAGTCAAAAGAAAGAGCAGAAGGGAGAAAAGGCAGTGACGTGCAGAGGTTCTTTTGGCTTGGGCAGCGTGCAGGCAGTGCAAAGGCAGGGCGCAGGCAGAGGATAAGAATTTCGGCGGCTGTGCAAAGGCAGCGTTCTTTTTTGGACGGCGTGCAAAGAGTCCTTTTGTGCTTTTGAGAGAGATAATTGTGTGAGGGTTTAGATTGAGTGATTGTAAACCCTAGTTGTATTATCTCCCCTTTAATAGTAGATCCCCCTCCTTGCCCCGTGGACGTAGGCAGTTTGCCGAACCACGTAAAAATTGGTTGTTTGAGTTTGTGGCCATTGTAATAGTTTTAGGATCCCTCGACAGGTCAGTCCTAGAACTGATGAGAGGAAGAGCCGATATCTCACTTGGTTGAGATATCCGCTTCAGATTCTTGTTTCCTTGGTGAGACAGAAATTCTTATCGATCTTTCTCTCTTATTGTGCACCAGAAACTCTGCCGAAATTTCCGCTGCGCACAACATTATTAGAGTAGGGTCAGTTTGTCAAATTCCTCTAAACTTAGTTAGGATTTATTCTAATTCAGTTTTGAGAAGCTAGTGTCATTTCGATCAAGAGAGAGATCAAAATATAACCAAATTTAAGAGACTTTTTTGTCTTGTTTTTCCTAAACAAGATTCTTCTCTAAATGCTTTCGTGCGTTGCTTGGATGCAAATAAGTTGTTTGCATTTTTCATTGAAGATTTTCATATATTTTGGAGCACATAATAAAAGATAATAGGACTTTAATGCTGATAAATATACTTGTGAAAAATGTAAGCAATGGGTGTTGATGTTTTAGTGATCACACAGTCAGTTGTATCCGTGGTTGGATCGATGAGGTTATTGAGTATTGATGCGGGGCTGCTTTCTTCCCCAACTTTATGTCTAGTTCTTGAGTTGAGTAGCTGAAACCTGCATAAGTAGAAACTCGTGAGAGGACGGGGCTTGGTTCTCCCGTGGTTCCTCCGACGATCAAGTCAGATAATGAACTTGAGTGGGGGGAAATATAGAATTGTGTCAGTTCTTGTATATATGGAGTATGTCTACTCCAAGATCAGCTTTGTCAATCTCAAAAAGGATAAGGTCTAGATCTAGATCTAGATCCTCTCCTAAGTTAGAATAGTACCTTTATTTAT